TGACTGTCTCGCATACGGCCAGCCCAGCTGGGGGCCCCGGAAAGCTGTTAGGCCCCCCCACGGTGATGGTAGGGACCCCGACGGGCGTTCTGCAATACTTGGATAGTCTGCGACAGCAACAGCATCGGTTTGATATGCAATTGTTTTTGGAAATGCTGATCGTCGATGAGGCGGACCTTCTGTTTGCTTTTGGCTTCGAGAAGGATACCAAAAGACTTCTTCAGCTCTTACCATCAACAGCAGCGGGTCACTACCAAACCATCTTAGTCTCTGCAACCCAAAACCAAGAGGTTAGTCCTTGTAAGATAGTATTTCTGGCTATATGAGGGTTTATGTTGCATGACTCATACGCTGGGGTTGCGTGCATGGACTGCGTTTTCTGCAGCTTTCCCAGCTACAGAATTTGATGCTGCACAAGCCGTTGATTATACGAATTGAGGAGGAAGAGGGAACACCGGGAGGTACCGGTGGAGCGAACCCCATTGGCGAGTTCTATTTTCAAGTCCCATCAGAAGCAGAGAAGTGGCTGGTGGCGTATGCATTTCTTCGTCTCGGTCTTGTTCCTCTGAAGTGCCTAGTTTTTTGCAAAGACGTTTCGAAGTAAGTTGCTTAACAAAGTTTAAATAAACTTCTACTAAGCTGTATGATAATGTACAGTCAAAATATAAGATATATATTACACTATTGGTTTTTCCTAGTTATAGACAATATAATACTATGCAGCCATGAAAGCCTGTTATATATACAAGAAGCTCGTCGAACACTTCATGCGTTAAGTCATCTGCTCTGAATGTCGTACTGCTGCGTTTCCGAATGCACTGAACACCGTTCGTTTCCTCCTTACACCTGCATAATAGACTACACTGGTGTGTGTTGTTTCTTATAAACTGCAGTGTGTACGCATTGCGCCTCTTCCTTGACCGATTTGGAATTGCCAGCGGCGTCTTAAGTCCTACTTTACCAATAGCGGCTCGCGAGCAACAGATTCAGGTCAGCACAAATCCCCTTGTTCATTTCAACATCTTCTGTTATATCAAAGACTGCAACGGCAACGGTGCTCACACAGAAACATTTTCTGATGTACAAAATTGAAGCTCAATGACGTGTACTAGTTAATTAGCGTTCTACTCAGAAATGCCCTAGAAACCGTATTCCTGCTTGTGGATCCCCATTATACGGGGGCAACGCTCTTCGGTGCGTCTGCTCTTCTTCCTTCAGGCGTTCAATCAAGGCCTTATCGATATTCTGATTACGAATGACGGACAATACATGGAGGAAGACAACCCTCAAACAGAACCAGATGACCCTGAATCTGCTGAGGCTTCTGTGAGTAACCAGCAAACACGAAAACGGCGACGAGAAGACGCATCCAAGGTGAACGAACTTCCTGCGGCCGCATTAAATTGTGAAATGGTTTTGCGCATGTAGCGATTTTTCCTGGGCGTATGTTACGCCTCTACTTGTTCGCGTAGCAAGAACGCTTCACGGCTCAAAATAATGCCATTTAGCACCGTTTCTGGATCCATTGAACTCGGGGCTTGTATGTGGTGCATGCCATTTCATTTGCATGTTCCAACTCTACCAAAATTCCATTGCATTTGTTTAGAAGGCACATGCTGACTGTGCTTACAGACTAAGGAGGCGGAGTTCGCTGGACATAGAGGTCTCGACCTGCAGGGCGTCGCTTGCGTTTTTAATTTCGATGCGCCGAACTCTTTGAAGTCGTATATTCACAGGTCTGCGGGGGCTATCTTAGGCCATCGTAGTGTTTATTCGTGTTTGCTTGCTGCAAGCACACTACGTTGATTTTGTCTCCACTTGGCTCTCTTGGGCGCCCACGACCCTCAGCGGCACGGGTTTTAGATGTAATGAAGAAACTGTTAGTTCCTTGCTATTTTCGCTTGTTGTGACGAACTGCAGAATTGGTCGGACTGGTCGTGGAGGT